CCCCCCCCCCCCCCCCCCCCATTCCAGCGTCATATGAAGGTCCACTAAATTGGGTTGCCTTCATTTCTGACTTGGCCAATGATTTGAGCACCCATAACCATGTCAGTAACTCCATGTTCATCCCATTTACAAAGTTTCCCTCCACAATGAAATCAAGTTTATTCTACAGTTGTCCAACTAATATGACATTGGTTTTAGCGGTTATCACTTGTGTCTAGGCAAAGTCGGCCCAAACAAATTTCCACCCGTGCAGTCCAATATGCTATGGAATCATACCCTTCTCACTATTCCAACGTAATATTAAGGTCCACTAATTGGGTTGCCTCCATTTTATCTAACTGGTCCAATGATTTGAGCACCCATAACAAAGCTAGTAACTCTATTTTCAGCCTATTTACAAAGTTCCCCTCTACAATTAAATCAAGTTTATTCGACAATTATCCAACTAACACTTTCATACATACATCAATTCTTCCTACATCACCACATACATGTCCAAGTTCAAACTAAAACAAATGAATTCCTCTCTCGCTATAGAACAAACGATAAACTTCCCTTTACTGTTTCTGAGAACTAACTCATATAAAAGAAAACATAAATTTCCATCCAAGAAGTTTAGTGCCTCCTAAAGATCACTCATTTATTATATACTATCTTGTGAACTTGATGGGGCATATACTCCTCTTTTTTACCAAAGATACCCATTCCATATAACTAACTATCTTGACATGCTAAATATCCCATGCTCCCTCCTTGCATTCATAAACTTAATTGGAGGTTTACTGGTCCTATTTGAATCTAGATTATAAATGAGTTTTTGATGTACATGTGAAGTTCAAAGTTGATAAATTTAATAAACGAATAAGATAAGAATCAGCTGAAAAATATAAGATCACAATTTCTCCAACAAGATAAATCCAAACATATGGAATATATTTCCATTAAACTTTTGCCCTAAATGTCCGAATGGACACCCTCAAAAATGTTCTGTATAGTTTCAAATAGAGTCAACTATAGTATCAATACAAGGATAAAAATGTTTTCTCCATGGGAATCCAAAAGATGGAAGTATAAATTGCACCTCTTCTGGGGTTAGAAGCTCAATTTGCAGAAAGAAAGTTTGCCTATGAAAATCTCTCTTCAATTAGAAACCAACTAAACACGGTTAGGAATGGTTACTAAATCAATTAGAAAAATTCAATACGGAGAAATTAAGATAGATCATCTATGGTTCTTACAGGCAAGTCTATTTGTGTATGATGTTTCTACAGACAGAAAGGAAGGAAAGGTTAAGAGCCCAATGTTTAAAAATTTACAGAATACTTAATTCATAGTCCAGTACTAGACCCATACTTGGTGTCTCTTGAACACAAGTTTTCTTTCCTTCGCAGAAGTCACACCTAGACTAGAGTACCTAGCAATGCTTCAGCCGCTATATGCAAAAGCTCAAGTGGAAGGCCACCATGGAAGGACAATAATGACACTTGCAAAGAATATCTCCTACCTGTAGTGGAAGCATAAGTATACACATGCCGAAGGCTGTACACTATAACGGAGTAAATAAGAAGAGCTACAATTACTAACGTTTCTATACGCATCGAGTCTGTAATTACAACTTAATCAGTAGTGGTTGATGAAATCACAATTCTTCTTCCTGTCATTCTTTTTCTTAGCTCTGTCTAGTACAGTTGTTTTCATTCTCTTGTCGCCATAGTTAACTCTAAGTACACTCTATAATCTATACCAGTTTCACTACCAAGATGCATCTACTTCAGAATGCTAAATTTGAAAACATCACAGTAACAGCACCAAAATCATCGCATAAATTATCAACACCTTCAAGAAGAAAATAAAGAATCGACAAAGAACTGTTGCTCATCACATAAAAATCCAAAGAAATAAGAAGAAAATAGATGCCACAGCAGAGGAAAACGCCAAAACAACAACAACAAAAACAACTACCTGAAGGTAGCTCCGGCGTTCGGCGTTGAAATGCCTAAATACACGAATAACCGTCAATCGAGACCTTGGAGAATCCAAAACAACGTTCTACAACATCATCCTGACCTTACATCAGCAAATTTTGTGAAAGAATTCATGCCTCTCACGTCTTTGACTCGAAAATTCTTCCTGTTTCCTCCATCGCCGCCAGTGGTCGCCTCCGCCTCCGCTACCGTCTTTAATCCTTTCTTGTACTCAATGGATTGCAAAAACAAGGCAGTGATAATCAATGAACTGAGCAAATCAAAGGATTTTCGTTAAGCTAAAATTAAATAATTGCATATAAAATATTAAAATGTAATAATTGTTTAATACTTTTAATTAATTTATAATTTATTTTTACGACTTTTATTGATAAAAATTATATTTAAAATTAAATACAAGAGAAGGATGTAATATATAATATAATTAATTAATTACTCAATTCAAATCAAAATAAATTAGCGATAATTAAAAATTTTAATTTAATTGTAAAAAAAATAATTGAACAAGTATAAATTAATTAGAATAATAACATTTTATACTAAATAATTAAAGATAATGTAAAATATTAATTATAAATGTATTAGTTAAAATTTAATAAATATAAATAATATATTTATATTTAATTACTTAAGTTAAAATGGGAGAGATATTGAAAAACCTAATAAATTAATCTTTAGAATAAATATGAAAATAATAAAAAAAAAATTAATTAATTAATTTTAAGCCTCTAATAATAATAATAAACGGAGGATTATGTATAAATTTTTTTAATTATCAAAGACTACGTATTAAATTTTGAATTTTTAGAAATTATGTCCGTAAAAAAAAAAAAAAAAATATATATATATATATATATATATATATATATATATATAATGGTTTTTTTTACCAATTTTTAATAAAAATAACTAATTAAAAATAAAAAAAATTAAAATAACTATTTTTTAATTAATAATAAATAGAAAAAATGAGGTGCGAAGGACTTGATCTCTACAAATTTATTTTTAATAAAAATAACTAATTAAAAATAAAAAAAATTAAAATAACTATTTTTTAATTAATAATAAATAGAAAAAATGACGTGCGAAGGACTTGATCTCCACAAATTTTTTGCAGAGAATTTCCGCCTCAGCCCCCACGAAAATGAAATAGGTGTCAGGGAAGGCATTTATATTCTCTGCATTATAGTAAAATTTGCAGTAGCACAAATCGAGAAATACAGTTTTTAAGTCGATTTCGAGATTGAAACTGCCCCATCCCGTAAACTGACGAAAATATTTTAGTATACTTGTCCTCACATATCTACAAACTGATGACCTAAAATGGTAGAAACGAACATTACAATGGATCAAACACAGAGCCTTTTGACTTCGTACCATGTTAACTGATATGTTATCGTATATCTAAGTATATCAATACTTCAGCACAATCATAATGTGCAAAGTTCAAAATCTAAACCTAGTCTCGATCGTAATAGTCATAGCTAAAACCGAGCTAGGTCATAGTTCAGATTTGAGTAGAAATCGAACACGTGGTTACCCGAGCTATTATTTGTTCGGATGAATGGAAGAAGATGCTCCCTAGTGACTGATGGAGAGAAAGGACTTCTAGTTTTAGAGATTGTCTTCCTTTTTCTCTTACCTTTTTTTGAATTTTCTTTTTGTCCTTTGCCTTTTAGCTTCTTCTTTCTATTTCATTTCAATTCTATATATATATATATATATATTGGAATGATCATGCTATCAAATCAATAAGGATGGTGGGGCTCGAGTGGTTCGAGATTATGCTAAATTTAGGGTTTTCGATGGGTTTGAACATATTATCGTTAGAACGAAACATACACTTAAAAAATTTTATATGCCAATATGAGCATAGCTCAACTATATGAACTTTTGTTAAAGCTATGTAAGATCCCACATTTATTGGAAAGAAGAACGAGTGTGAGCAAGAATGTTGAGCCCCGAAAGGGGTGGATTGAGATCCCACGTCGGTTGGGGAGGAAAACAAAGCATTAGGTGTGGAAACTTCTCTCTAGCTGACGTGTTTTAAAAACTTTGAAGGAAAACCCGAAAGGAAAAGCCTAAAGAGAACAATATCTACTAGTGGTGGGCTTGAGCATTATCGGTCGAACTCATTGCTAACTGACATACTGAATTTAGATAGGGGGAAAGAAAAAGAAAACCGAGATCGAGATATTTGTAAACTAAATTATTCGAAACCGACAAAATCGAATAAACCAACAAATACAAAACGATCAATGTGTAGCCAAATCAAACTGCAATTATTTTTTCAATCTCGAAAAAAACCAGCTAAAAGCATGACCAATTGAATCAATCAAAACGACTTACACAGATCTTATCCAAACGAGACCAAGTGTCGGTTTGAAATGACTTTCTAAGTGCTCGAACACAGGATCCTCTAATGCATTACGTTTTTCACTTTAATACTCGAGAAACCCTGATGTAACCTAAAAATACAGTCCAAATCAAGCCAACTCGAACGGACTTTCTAAATGCTCGAGAAAACCAGATCAAACCTAAAGATACAGTCCAAATCAATCGAACGAACGCAATAGAACTCGACCAGTCTCATCGATATTTTCCAATTCCAAAACTACCCCTAATCCCAAAACTTCGAAAAACATAATACAAACTTTGGGGGTACCATAAAGAGAGTAATAATAGAGAGAGAGGTCCACATGTGAATCTTAGGGGTAAAAATGGTACAAAAAAAGAACATTGGAGAAGGGTTTGGTATTTTGGAGGCAAAATAGGAAGCACGGCGGTCGGTATGTTTTCAAGACGTTTTTGGCTGCAAACTTATTGGCTTAACTCTATTCAACTCCCATTCACTTGTTTCCTTCTCCAAATCCTCTTTCTTATTTGTTTTTATGCATAGTTTTTGCTTGCATTTGTTTCTTCCACGCTTATTTTATCATTAAATTCAAGTCGACCGTGGTGATGTTCCACGTTGATTGTGGAGGAGAACGAAACATCCTTTATGAGGGTCTGGAAACTTCTCCCTAACATACGCGTTTTAAAGCCTTGAGGAGAAGTCCAAAGAGGAAAATATCTGCTAGTGCTGTTACAAATGGTATCAGAGCCAGACAATGGGCGATGTGCCAGCGAGGACACTAGGCTCCGAAGAGGGTAGACACAAGGCAGTGTGCCAGTAAGGACGCTGGGTCCCAAGGGAGGTGGATTTGGTAAGGGTCCCACATCGATTGGAGAAAGGAACGAGTGTCAGCAAGGACGCTAGACCCTAAAGAGGGGTAGACACGAGGCAGTGTGCTAATAAGGACGCTGGGCCCCGAAAGGGGTGGATTTGGTAAGGGTCCCACATCGATGGGAGAAAGGAACGAGGGTCAGCGAGGATGCTAGGCCTTGAAGGGGGTGGATTGTAATGTCCCACATCAGTTGAGGAGGAGAACGAAACACCCTAATAAGTGTATGAAAACCGAGTGGATTTGGTAAGGGTCCCACATCGATTGGAGAAATGAACTAGTGTCAGCGAGGACGCTAGGCCCTAAAGGGGTAGACACGAGGCAGTGTGCATTTTAATACATGAAAACTCGGAGCACGCTACTTGTTCGGGTGTCACAACCGAATCATTTCATAGAATAGTAAAACACGTTTAACTATAAAGTTCTTATGAATGAGCTACCGAAAAAGAAGGTACACTTTCTTAATATAGATGATAATTTTCAAATTTTTTAACTTTCTTAATCATTCTGTCATCATGATCACTCTCATTCACATGGAGTCTCAGTTCATTCATCCACCACTCCTATACTCGGGTGTTACAACCTCCCCTTCCTAAATGTCTCCACCGTCATCTCCACCACGACTATCGTCGATGAGCACTGCCACCATTGGTCACTCCATCACCAACCGTCACCACCCGCCGTTGGAGCCGACCTCATCTCACCACCATGATGGTCATAGTGTTTTAAACATAATTTTGAACTTCGTTCATCGTGTTTCCTAATAGACTTTTATCCATTTCACAATAAACATAAAAATAATTTTATCGACCGTTTTACATATGAAGATCATTTAAAGGGTAAAAGTGTAATTTGATAAAGTTAAAAGTTTTGGATGAATTTTTATTAACATTATTTTTTTTCTTGTTAAATTACCCGTACCTTTCAAATGTATATAATATTTATGACAAATTCGGTAACCTCCTACGCCCACCACTAGTCGATAATATCCGCTTTGACTCGTTACATATAAACATTAGGCTCATGATTCTAAAACGCGTTTGTTAACGAGAGGTTTCCACGCCCTTATAAGTAATGTTTCGTATCTCACAATACAACCTTCGTGGGGGGCCCAACGCCCTCACAGTCACACCACTCGTGTCTAACTCTCATACCATTTGTAACAGTCTAAACCCACTGCTAACAGATATTATCCACTTTGACCCATTACGTATCATCGTTAAGCTCACAATTTTAAAACGCATAAGCTAGCGAGAGATTTCCACACCCTTACCAGAAATGTTTATGTGAGATCCCACATCGGTTAAGGAGGAGAACAAAACATTCTTTATAATAGTGTGGAAATCTCTCCCTAGCATATGCATTTTAAAAATATTGAGGTAAGCTCGAAGGAAAGCCTAAAAAGGACAATATTGGCTAGCAGTGGGGTTAGGTTGTTACAGTTTCGTATCTTCCAATCCACCCCCTTGGAGGCCCAACGTCCTCACTAGCACACCACTTCATGTCTGGTTCAGATACCATTTGTAACCACCCCCTTGGAGGCCCAACGTCCTCACTAGCACACCACCTGGTGTCTGGCTCAGATACCATTTGTAACCATCCCCTTGGGGGCCCAATGCCCTCACTAGCACATCACTGTCTGACTCAGATATCATTTGTAACCATCCCCTTGGAGGCCCAACGCCCTCACTAGCACATCACCCGTTGTCTGACTCGGATATCATTTGTAACCACCCCCTTGGAGGCCCAACGTCCTCACTAGCACACCACCCGATGTCTGGCTCAGATACCATTTGTAACCACCCCTTGGAGGTCCAACGTCCTCACTAGCACACCACCCGATGTCAGGCTCAGATACCATTTGTAACCACCCTTTTGGAGGCCCAACATCCTCACTAGCACAACACCCGGTGTCTGGCTCAGATATCATTTGTAGTAATGCCAAAGCCCACCGCTAGCAGATATACTTGAAAGAGATTTCCACGCATTTATAAAAAATACTCCATTCCAATTTTAAAAAAAAATTAATCAATATCTAATAAAATCTAAAACTTTCAAATTATATATCAAATAGATCCCTAATTTAGAGAAAATTAAAAAAAAGGACTAAAACTTACCATTAATTAATTTTTAGAATTTGAAAAAGATGAAGAAATGGGGGTGAAAAGAAAAACAAAGGTAGGGACGAGGGGTCAATTTGCAAATAAAATAAATGTGAGGTCCCTATCAGCAGTCTCACGTGTTTGGGTATTCAGGGAAACGTCGGCGACAGCGTCAGAGGCCGCCTGAAAAAGAGCTTCCACTTTTTACACGCCAAAATCTCTTACCCCTTCTCTTCTCCTTCCTTCTATATACTTCTTTTCAAACCCCTTATTATTACATATGTTCAAAAATTATATATTTGGTCCCGTACTTTCATCGATCTAGTAATCATTCCTATACTTTAATATGTAAGGACCTAGCTCGAGAAAATCTTGCTTAGATATAACGAGGGTCGGGTACGGTAATTGTCCAGGCTTTAATATGCTCGTGTTGATGTCGAGAACTCGTAGATGTATGAACAAATTCTGGTAATTACTTGACCTCACGCGTGCAAAAAATGACGGTGAGTAAATTACACTGTAATTTTTTTGTTTTGGAGCTAATTTTATCCATAAAAAATTTAAAATTTTGATAATTACTCAGACCTAGTTTTTGCGTGTACAGAAAATGAAAGAGGGTAAATCAGTGAGATCTAAGTGGTTGTTACACGGTAAATTTTATCCACTAAAATTTTAAATTTCTAATAATCTCCGGAACTTGTGTGTGAAGTATATTGGTGATGTTTTCAGTGTTTTCGTACTAATTTTATCCACTGAGAATTTAAAATTATGATAATCATCCGACTCTGTGTGCAAAAAAAAAAAAAAAAAGAAGTGAGTAAAATCAATGAAGTCGAAGTGGTTGCTACACTGTAACGTTTTTGTTTCCGAGCTAATTTTATCTGAATATTTAGAATTCTGATAATCACGGGACCTCGTGTGTGTGCAAAAAAAGGAAAGTGAGTGCATCAGTTAGATCTAAGTGGTTGCTATACAGTAATATTTTTTGTTTTCGGGTAAATTTTATCTGCTGAAAATTTAAATTTTTTATCATCACTGGACCTCGTGTGTGTGTGTGCGCGCAATAAAAAAAACGAAAGTGAGTAAATCAGTGAGATCTATGTAGTTCCTATACCGTAACATTTTGTTCTCAAATGGACCTCGTGTGTGCAGTAAACGAAAGTGCATTTTGTTCTCAAATGGACCTCGTGTGTGCAGTAACCGAAAGTGATTAAATCAGTAAGATTTAAGTGGTTGCTACACGGTAAAAAATTTTGTTTCCCGACTAATTTTATCTAAAATTCAAGTAATCACTTTTCGGGTGCAATATATATATATAATTAAACCTATAAATATACCTTATATACCCACCAAAAGCCTACATGTTTCACCCTATTATTTTACTTGGCCTTAAAGCTTAATAGGCATAGTAAAAAAATATTGATTTCATTGTCACGTAAATCGAAAATGTGTTACATTATTTTAAATTTGACTAAACTATAGGGACCATATAAAACCTTTTAAAATTATAGGGTCAATTTTTTTTTATAATAATTTTCATATTTTCATATTTGAAAGAATATGGACAAAAAAAACAACAATAATAATAATTGAATATTTGAAAGTACAGATATCAAAATAAAACATTTTTTACACCGAATGTTTTTGATTTTTACCATTTTTTTTAAACTATGAAAAATGTGGAGATATATGAATCAATTACCATTGAGCTATACTTACGTTGATAACTTTATACTAATAGTTTTGTGAGATCTCATATTGGTTGGAGAGAAGAACGAATTATTTCTTATAACGATGTGAAAACCTCTCCCTAACAGACGGATTTTAAAACCGTGAGCTTGACGACGATACGTAACGGGTCAAAGTGGACAATATCCACTAGTAATGAGTTTGAGCTGTTACAAATGATATTAGAGTCAGTCATCAGGAGATGTGTCTGTTAGGACGCAAGCTCCCAATGGAGATGAATTGTGAGATCCCATATAGAGAGGAAAACGAAACATTTCTTATAAAGGTGTGAAAACTTCTCGTTAATAGATATGTTTTAAAATTGTGAGGTTGACGACGATACGTAACAGATCAAAACGGACAATATTACTAGCGGTGAGCTTGAACTGTTACAAATGGTATCAGAGCTAGTTATCGAATGATATGTCATAGAGAACGCTGGCACCCCGTAGGGGTAGATTGTAAGATCCCACATCGATCGGAGAGAATAAAAATACGAACTTTGACTGCAATTGGCAAGGCACGTTCGGAATTTAACCCACTTTTGTGTAAATAAATAAATAAATAAAATAAAAGGTAAGTTAAATTAATTTATTATTTTTTAAAAAGGGAGGGTAAAAGAATAAATTCACATGCATAAGAAATCAAGAGGAAAAGGGCGAAAAGAAAATGGGGGAATGGGAAGCAAAATGTCAAACACAAGGCATTCAATTTGGCATTGGGGAACCGCACCATTTGACAGCTCTTCCGCCCCACGCCTCGATCCCACCGCCGCCCCCCGCCCCCGCCTCTCCGCCCCTCTCCGCCACAAACGGTCAAATTAAATATTTTTAAAAATTTTCAATTTTATATTTAATCAGACAAAAACTATAACGACCCATTTCCAATATTCGGATCGAGATTTGGAATCTAGCATTCCCGTGTAACATAGTCATCACGTTACCTACCTACCTTCGCTTCTTAAAAGTGAAAACTATTTCTACAGACCAACACGAGTAGAAAAATTTCTATGAGGTCACCTAACATGGTATTGGTTCATTCATGTACTCCTCCTCTACTTGTGAGATCCCACATCGGTTGAGAAGGAAAACGAAATGTTCTTTACAAGAGTATGAAAACTTCTCCCTAATAGACCCATTTTAAATTTTTTTAAAGAATTAATTTAGTGGAAGATCATGGGTTTTTAAGTGGGGAATACTATCTCCATTGGTATGAGGTCTTTCGGGAAGCCCAAAGCAAATCCACGAGAGCTTATGCTTAAAGTGGACAATATCGTACCATTGTGGAGAGTCGTGATTCCTAATATGCCACTTGTCACAATCGCACTCTTGATGGTAGTCGACTTGCGATTGTGCGACACTCACTTTCCAACGACAAGTGAGCTAAGCCAATTCGTTCTTACATCGCCTACGGGCAAGCGACCTATGCTCGAGCCTTTGGACTCGGTTTAAGAAAAAGGTTTTAGAAAACGAGGGCAGAGTTTCTTACGTCGCCTATGGCAAGCGACCTATGCTCCAGCCTCTGGTATCAGTTTAAAAAGAAGGTTTTAAAAAACGAGGGCAGAGAGAGATTTTGAAATAGACGTTATATATGCAAGCAAGAGAGTGACAACAATAACTCAATATCTACAACTACAAAAAAAAAAAAATTAAAATATATTTTTTGAAACATACTTTTGGCTTGCATTTCCCCATATATTTTGACTTTTTTTACCCCGTTTTTTTTGGGATAAATATAATAATAATATTATTATATATTATAAAATGTCAATATTCTCGCTTTCCAATCACCTCCCCACCTTTATTTATTTATTATTTAAAAAAAAATAAAAATAAATAAATAATTAATTAATTAATATCCCACCTTTTTAACTATCCCTTTTCCTCAACCTTTTCAAACTTATATGGGGATTTACCAATGCACTTTTGCTTGCCTTCCCTTTTCAATGCCTCAATTAATTAATTAATTAATTAATTAATTTATTTATTTATTCTTCCAAGTACATATTTTCTAAATTTTAAATTACTTTAATTTTTTATTTTAAAAATAATTATTAAAATATCATTTTAATCCCAATACATTTTTAAATATCTAAATTTAATTTTGAAATAAATAATTTAAATTTTGAATTAACTTATAAAATTATATATTTTTATAAATAAAAATGAAAATTTTGATGGTTGAGTAGGCCAGTTCTTGGTCTGCTCTATCATCATTGGCTTCGTGGAAGCAATTGGAAGCTTTTTTATTTTTATTTTAATTATTATTATTTTTTTGCCTTTTCTTTTTGAAAAGTCAAACCCATAATTCTTTCTTGGAATAATATTTCTGCAATTTCAAAAAATAAATTACAAATTATTGTTTTTATTTTATTAAATTAAATTCTTTAATATATTTCAAATTATTTTTTACATATTGGTTATTTCTTTAATTTACATGAATATTGTTATAAATTAGATATTTTCCATCATTTAATGGAAATAATATTTATTTAATAGTATTTTTTAACGTTGAATAACATAATTAAAGTTATTTCTTTAATTTTCAGGATCACTCTCATTTGAACGTGGTCTGGGTTCATTTATATAGCGTTTGTCCAGCAAAGGCTAGAAGAAGATGACTTGTATAGTCGATTTGATAATGACCGACCAACCCGAACCCAACTTTACCTTTTATTTTTTATTTTTTTATGTAGACATCATATTTTCAGGGATCGAACATGGTCTGGGTTCATTTATATACTACTTCTTCATTCATTGCACCCGTCACTAGCTTCCGCTTTGATTCGTCCCCTGAACCATATATAACTAAGAGAAATGCTATTCTAATGCCACTTATAACGCCCCATGGTCAAGAATTGAAAATCCAAATCTTAGACCTCGGTAGTAATTATAAATAAATTAGAATAAAAAAAATAATTTAAAAAACCAAAAATAAAAAAAAAATTATTAAAAAGAAAAGAGACTTTGACCTTTCATGAAGAAATATATATATATATATATAATAAATATTGAACTAAAAAAAAAAGGAAAAAGAAAATGGAAAAGTGAAAAGCAAAGATTTGGGGGCAGAGGAAGCGAGTAGTGTTTTTCAAAGAGATATTTGGGAATTGGAAGCTGCAACAATGGTGGGTCGTTTCTGTTTCTCCATTTCCGCCATGGATGCGACAGTGAAGAAGCTCCACCTCGAACTGTAACCCTAAAGGAGAAGATAAAATCTCAGCCGTGTTTTCTATGTAGGTCTGATTCATCTCAATCTTATTCTCTCTCTTCTTCCATTTTTTTTAATACTGTTTCCTTTTCAGTTGCTCTTCTCGATATTGTTTTTTGTTTTTTAAAATAAAGTTTTTCTCTCACTCTCAGATGCATCCAAAATCCATGGCTTCCGCGTACTTTGTGCATTATTCAAAAGCATGAGAGCATAGGGGCTCGTGATCGTGTTCGTGTTCGTGTTCTTCCTCGAGGATTTAGAGAGAGAAGAATCCTTAATTTGCTGTCCCAATCTTCGTGCCGTTTTCTGTTTGGATCTCGCTTTGTATTCATTCTGTTCTTTAATCTCTTAAAACTCGCGTTAATGGTGGTAGCCATTGATCCTGCTACCTCCTCTTCCTTTATGAAGAGTATCACTCGCCGCCATTGTCAGACCTTCTGTGTTTTCCTTCATCTTTTACTTCCTTCCTTCCTCCAATGGCTGCCTACGCTTTGCTTGGCGATTCCACTGGACGTGTTAATGGCGGTTTTGATGATAGTCCTTTGACGAGTGCATCGACGAACAGTAACGGCAGTGAAGAACGTAATCATCAACAGACTGTTCAAGTTCAGGTTATTCAGTCGCGAAAAATGGTGCGGAAGAGAATCGCGTCGGAGATGGAGATCGACGGCGGTGGAGTCACTGCATCTGTTCATTCTCGGCTTTCGCGGCGGAGTTTAGGTTCCGATCGTCCTTTTGGTTGTGGAGAAATTAAAGGGAATGTGAATTATTGTTCTTCTTCAAACCCTAGCCATGGCGGTAACCACTCCACTGTGCATAATTTAACCGCTCTGACGTCAGGTGTAATCGAAGGGACAAATTTATCAAATCCTCCTTCTGCTTCTGATGCTACGGCCTCTTCCACTACCTCCAACAATAACAATAACAACAACGCGACTCTTCTTGATAGTACTCTTCCTGTTCTTCGTCCTCAGCCCCACCATCACTTGCAGAATCCTGCAGTCTGTGGTTTCTCTGGTTTGCCGTTGTTCCCACCGGAATCGAATCACCACCACAAGTTAAATACTCGGAGTAATCCTTTTCCCCTTCCTAATCCATCTCAGATTCTTCTTCATAATCCTCCCACTACTGCAACATCCTCCATTATCGCCGCCGCTTCTTCTCCCATGGATGATTCCTCCGCCACCGCTTGGATCGACGGCATCATTAAGGACTTAATCCACAGCTCCACCGCCATATCCATTCCTCAGCTTATTCAGAACGTACGTGAGATTATCTACCCCTGTAACCCCAATCTTGCGAACCTTCTTGAGTTTCGTCTTCGTACTTTGACGGAACCTAGTGTTCCTAACTTCGTTGCTGAGGATCACCGATTGAGGAAATCCGCTTTGCCGTTGCCGGCGCCGGTGGCCGGGCTGGGGTTGCAGCAGAGGCAGTTCAATCAAGAACAGCATGAGCAAGAGCATGATTGTTCTGGTTTGAAGCTTAATCTCGATTCTTCTTCTCTGCATAATTTTTCTACTTTCCCCTCTCATCCACCGTTTCATGAGCCGTATCTTCACTGGGGAGCAACCACTCCACCAGTGCCCACCCCCTCCGGCGAGGATGCCTTACAGCGGCTCCCCGGTCATCATCAACTTAATCTCTCTTCTGTTACACCGTCGTCGCTTGTTTCTCTAAACCATGTCCCTTCAAAGCCACAATCAGAACAGCAGAACTCCTGTCCGGTGAATGTAAAGGCGGCGGTGGCACAGCCGCCGCCAGCGGCAGCGCCACAGCCGAGTAATAACCCTTCAGCCACTGCTTTGCTAATTAGAGAGATTAAAGAGGAAATGAGGCAACAGAAGAGAGACGAAGAAGGGTTACATCTCTTGACATTACTTCTTCAATGTGCCGAAGCCGTTTCTGCTGATAATTTAGAAGAAGCCAACAAGATGCTCTTGGAAATCTCCGAGTTGTCCACACCCTTCGGCACATCGGCACAGAGGGTAGCAGCGTATTTCTCAGAAGCAATGTCGGCGAGGCTTGTAAGCTCATGTTTAGGCATATATGCAGCTCTGCCGCCATCGTTGATGCCCCATACCCACAGCCAGAAGATAGCTTCAGCCTTCCAGGTCTTCAATGGCATAAGCCCATTTGTCAAATTCTCACACTTCACTGCCAATCAAGCCATACAAGAAGCTTTTGAAAGGGAAGAGAGAGTTCACATTATAGATCTAGACATCATGCAAGGCCTTCAATGGCCTGGTCTCTTCCACATCTTGGCGTCTAGGCCTGGCGGGCCGCCGTATGTCCGCCTTACAGGGCTAGGGACCTCTCAGCAAGTTCTTGAGGCCACTGGCAAGCGCCTCACTGAATTCGCCGAGAAGCTAGGCCTTCCCTTCGATTTCTTCCCTGTGGCTGATAAAATTGGCAATTTAGACTTGGAGAGGCTCAACGTGAGCAAAAGGGAAGCCGTTGCCGTTCATTGGATGCAGCACTCTCTTTATGAAGTCACTGGTTCTGATTCCAATACGCTATGGCTTTTGCAGAGGTATGAAATTTTGATTATCTTTCATGGGGTTTCTGATTCTTAGTCTTAATCTTTACCTTCTCGTTTGTTCATAAGGATGAATAGTCTTCATAAACTTGGTTTGAATGACAGATTTACGTTTTGTTTCTGATCTCTCATATGGGTGTAGTAAATGGGTTACGTTAGTTTCATTGTGATCTCTGCAATGCACAGTTAAAGGCTGTGCAGCCTTTCAAACTGTGACATTTGACTGAATAATTCATGCATTTCTTCTCATTGATTAGTTTGCATACTCAAATATTGCTGTATCTATGTCTGAAATTGATTATCAGATTGGCCCCAAAAGTGGTGACGGTGGTGGAACAAGATCTAAGCCACACAGGCTCGTTCTTGGGGAGATTCGTAGAGGCCATTCACTACTATTCCGCACTGTTCGACTCATTGGGTGTCAGCTATGGCGAAGAGAGTGAAGAGAGACACTTAGTGGAGCAGCAACTTTTGTCAAGGGAGATCAGAAACGTGCTGGCCGTGGGTGGGCCGTCGAGGACCGGCGAAGTAAAGTTCCAAAACTGGAGAGAAAAGCTACAGCAATCTGGGTTTAAGGGCATTTCTCTCGCCGGAAATGCTGCAACTCAGGCCACTCTCCTCCTCGGAATGTTCCCTTCCGATGGGTATACGCTTGTAGAAGATCATGGGACTCTGAAACTTGGATGGAAGGATCTCTGTTTGCTCACAGCCTCAGCTTGGAAGCCGCCCTTTCATCATCATGCCGCCGCCGCCGCTGCTGCTACTGCACCGGCCACCAACAACAACCACATTCCACGGTACTGAAGTTCTTTCTTTCTCTTTATTTTTAAAAAAAATTCTATATATTATTGGTTTTTGTTTCGATAATATCATCATAATGGTTATTTTCATTTCCCCCTTTTCCAACCATAATGACAAGCTTTTGATCTTCATCTTGTTATGATTATAACCTTTTTTTCCATGTCCATTGTATACCAAATTATCTTCGCCTCTTAAATAATTCTTTTTTTGCTTCGTGAGATTAGATGAGTGTGAAATTGAACCATCGACTTGTGAGTTATATTAGATTTTATATATAAATGGACGGTAATATAAATTATTGTGCTCTAGAAATTAGATTTTGTCTATCCAATTGGGTATGATTTTCACCCCAACTTGAAAATAGAAAGGTTTTTAAGTACGAGAGAGAAATATTGTTGGATATAAAGCATAAAAAAGGAAGGATGAGGGTCCTTCAAATGATTGAAGGAATATACTAAAAAAAAATGATTGAAGAATATGAAGTATGCAAAATTATGAGACTATAGTGGACAGTTTCATATATACGAGTATTTAATGGAGATCGTTGTTGTCGAGTGATGCTCGGTAATAATGTATCTCTTCTCATCCTACAGGACTTGAACATACATCTCACGGCACAAAAGCTGATGATAGCCATGCAATACCTGTAATGACATTACCATCTTGTTAAACATATCGATTTTGTTGTTCATACGTCAAGGGTAGGGAAGGTCTTGGGAGTTGTATTGAACTAAACCACATGCTCCACGGCTTGTATGGGTCCTTGCTTTTAGCTTAACAATATACGTACGTGACGGTTCGATCATTTGACTTTTTAGTTGAAAAAATAACAATGTAGCTAATTGAGGTATGTTCATACCAATAATAATGGACTATATGCCTGCAAAGATGCAAAGAGACTTATAATAGATATGTAAATACGTAATAGCATATCGATTTAAACATATCACGGTAGATAAAATCTTAATTATGCCAATTTGAGCATAAGTCAGGTGAGTCACAACAATATTTAATTGTTCGAGTTAGATGTAAATGGAATTGTCATGTTCGTTTTAACATTTATTACGTTGTTTGAAGAATTTTGAATAGAATTGATGTTCTGTGACAACGATATGTAAACTAACACGATTGAATGTTCATTACTGACCGAAACAAAAGCTTTCCTTTTGTTTTTTTCTTCGATGTTGCTATGTGTTTATTAATCCAATCCAAATGCTTAGGTAAGGAGATTGAACAAACTCGATCGCTAACGACTAAGTAATCTTAAATGAGTTATAAAGTCATACCTAAAATTAATTACTTTTAAACCGATCAATAACGACTATATCTTACTCTTGATACATACATACATATATATATATATATATGGTATTTGATTGAAATGAAATTGTCGTAATGCATTTGTATTTGTATGTACTTTAGGGTTAAGAGAAGACAACAAAACAAAAGGACTATGTTCGCACCAGAGGGGGAGACTCATTTATGCACCTACTCCCACTATGTCCAACTAATCAATCAACTTTACCCATGTGACGTTTTTTTGTACCATAATGTTTGTGTTCGGGTAAGAGATATTCATTTAACTCACGGGATCTATGCGAATGAAGCGGAGAATCCTCATTAAAATTGAGAATAAAAGAGGGAGTGAGGGGAGATTTGTAATAGCCGAAGCCGAAGCTGAAGCTCACCGCTAGGAGATATTATCCACTTTTGTCCGTTGGATATGACCGTTAGTCTCACGGTGTCACGACCCAAAATACATAACTTCAAGCCGTGACTAACATGAATTATGTCATGTAATGTATAAACGAGAAAATCACATAAAAACATTTACGGCAAAAGAATTTCATTTATTTTGTAAGAAAAACGTTTCTTTACTAAAAAGGACATATGTGCCTAGGTAAAAACAAGGAAAGAAACATGAGAGACAAAGTGTACTATTTAGTAAACTAGATTGACGCCCCGGGACACGCTTCCTCTGCGACAACCCACGTCGATCAACGCGCCCTCTCTAGACTCGACGCCTCACGTACCTGAAAAAAAAGGTATAACAGGAATGAGTATAAAATTTATACTCAGTAAGCCACCTACTTGTAAGCTCTTGTCGCACCCTAAACTTAGCAAATGATCACGGACTTCCCTTCGGCTCTAGAACAACTGATATTGGTCTTAGTTCATTAGGGCTTTTCCCCTTGGGACTTGTCCCTTCGGACTTCTTTGGTTCTCAGACCTTTTATTTATACCCCTAGAGTTACTTTTATGCTAACCTGTGTTGGGCTGGTGCCTTGCGAGTGGCTACCTCGGTATGGGTATGAGATTACCTGGGGTCTCGCCTAGGAAGTGAGCTGCAACCCCCTAGTCCCAAGATAATCCCCCTGTATTTAGGAGGGCTACCTCCCCTATTCCATCCAGCTAAACGGTCAATTACGACGTGGGTATCCCGTTTCCCATACTAAGCGGCTATCGAGCAGTCGAGTCCTGATCAGGAACCCGCTGGTCCCCCACGAAGCTATATCACCATCCACACACAAGTAGCCTAAGGGTACTCTAAAGGTATTTCATGTGCTGTGATGGTCTGTTAAACTCATAGGGAAAGATTAAGTCTATTTCTTGGTGACTTGACGCTCTAACCATGAATCTCTGGACTTAATCATAAAAGTGGCCATAGAAATTAGCTGAATTCGTACATAACTAACATCTAACATCATTAAACAATATTCATGCGAGGTAAACATATAAGCTCAACGGGGCGATAACGTCCATCAACTCCCAGAGCACAGATTTCACAAATTCTCATCCTCCTTTCAGCATAGAATATCCATAAACATAATAAGCAGAAACTTTAAACTTAATAACAATACTCAGGCAATTCTCATAGTCATTCACATAATGCATTTTACTTTAATAATCAAATACCTACATACTGTCACGAGAAACTACGCCCTAAGATGATTATACTAGCATGCATGCATTCCAAGCGACTCCTACAAGTATTACTTCTTAAAATCCCGTGCGGTGACTTACCCGGACGACGCGTGTCCTTACGCAGCGTTTTCACACACTTGACGTATCGAAAGGCGGTGACTTTTCCTCAATTTGGTCCTATTTCAATCAGAATGGGTTTAGGATTGGAATCAGGAGGAAAATTGGGAAAACAGAAGTTGAACGGGCCAAAAACAAACTTACACGCGCTTCCACGCGCCAGCCACGCGCCGGGGAGTATTCACTCGCAGGTTCCATGCGCGAGTGTTACGCGCCCAGAGTTTTCTGCAGTCGCGGGTCGCGGGTTCGGTTCGGACGCAGTGGCTCGGGTGGACCGCGGTTTGTCGGTTCGGTTTGGCCCGCCGTGCAGATATCGAGTAGGCCGACGGGCGCGGGTCGAGTTGCGTTGCCAGGGACGCGTGTCGCAAGGAGGCTGGAGCCGCGTTTTCCCAGGCGGCGCTCGACGCGTGTCCGGGGGTGATTGGCGCTCGCAGGTCCTCTGGTTGGTTGACACGTGGCGCGCTGCGCGGCTTCTCTCTCCTCCTAGCAGAAAATCAAGGTTTTCCGATTAGCTTTCCGAGGTCTTTCCATTTTCTATCTTTCGATTCTTAATCCAAACAGAGATGGTTTCTTCAACAAAGTTTTAGATCATCTATCAACCTACGTGCCAATGTTATTTTTTCTTGATTTTTGCTTAGTCATACGATGAGTTTTGAGCGTCGAAAAGAGGTTCGGTAACATCCTTACCGTTCTTGGATAGTTTCTCAGATCTCGTCGTTTCGTCCGTTTTCCTCACCAAGATCAGTGGCGGATCTTCCCTGGATGAAGGTAGTAGACTTAATCATTCTACTCCTAAACAAAGATCTCAGATCTGGAAGGTATAGTTCGAAATCTTACCTTGCGGGTTGTCTTTCTGATCTTGATGAAAGAGGAGAAAATCTCAACGCGAGTTCTTACTTCACTCCAAGAAGGGCTCCAGAGTATAGGTCTTAGTAGGGAATGGATTCCGTCGGCGATTCTCCGATGAAAACTCCCGCAAATCAGTTTTCTCTCTCAAACTTTCTCTCAGTTCTTCTCTCTCACTCTTCTTCTTTTGCAGGAACTCTGAGGAGGACGCTCAAGACCCCTATAATGGGCTGAGGGGCAAAATGTCCATTTTGCCCCTTGGCCGTTTTTTTTTTTAATTTATTATTATTATTTTTTAACGTAACACACGGTTTTAAAACGTATTTATCAAGGAGACGTTTCCACACCTGTAAGGAATGCTTCATTCCTCTCTTTAACCGACGTGGGATCTCACAATCCACCCCTTTGGAAGTCTGGCGTTCTCGCTAGCACACTGCTCAATGTCTAGGTATGGTACTATTTCTAACAACCCAAACTCATGTAAATATTATTTGCTTTGGCCCGTTATATATCGCCAGCAGCCTCATGATTTTAAAACGCATCGGATAAGAAGAGGTTTCCATGCACAATTCACCCTCATAGAAGAGGTTGCCATGTAGGGTACAAAACATCCATTGAGGTGAAGGGAAACGTTTTATCAACACAACAAAGCTCAACCACCTATTTACTCCAATTTAGAAGAATGTCAAATCTGGAATAATATATTTTAATTTTTTCTTTATTAATTTTTTCTTTATTAATTTTTTTTAATATCTCATGTATCAATTTTTTTTTTAATTAAACCATATTTAAATATTATAAAAAATCTCAATATATATATAAAAATTTAAATATATATACATTAGTTATTGTAATATTAGATATAATAAATATTTTTTCTCTTCTTTTATATTTAATACTAAATAGTAGTTTCCATATGAACCATAAATTATAAGCTTCAATTATACAATTAATTAACTAGTGAGTTAAACTATTTAATTAATCAAATTTTAGTTATTAATTATAAGTCACTTCACTAGATCTAGACCTGCAACTTTATATATGCTAGGATAAATTGTGCCCATGAATATAATAATTACAAACAAGTTGATCCTTCATAAATTAATCATAATTACAGCTCCGCCAAAAGATCGTTTTACCCACGTAATTATGTCTTTCTATTTGAAATACCACTGATACTATAATAAACAATTTGTTTATAAGGAGAGGTTTGACACATTGTTCAAGTCTCGAAATTACTTCTATCATATAAAATTATGTTTTCAACTCTTTATTTAGTAAAATTTCCAAACGAGTGGGTTCAACTATCTTATAATTCATTATAGATTAAGATCTCATGCGGTGAAATATTAACTTTTTTAATTAACAAATTTATAAAAAAAGATTAAATATTTTACGATTCAATCTTGCTTTAATTTGTAAAGGACCAACTTACTGAAAAAACTGAAAAAAAAAAAACCAACTTACTTTCTCACCCGTTTCATGCTTTAGAATATTCGTGATCACAACTAATACAATATTCAAAAACACATGACCAACAATGCACAAACCTCATAAGATAAAATCGAATCATAATGAATTATTTATTCACGTATAAGATGGAATCAAATTCACAATTCATAATCACATGAGAAAATAAACCTCAACAAACAAAAATTTGAGTGGCAAAATTGAATGGCACTTCATTAATTTCAAAATCTAGGTCAAATGACATTTGGATTCTGGTAAATAATGATAGTCTAGTTGCTAGTGGAATATATATCGTAAAGAACTTTCAAGAAATAAGTTATTGGGTCTAGACCCGACAGATCTATATATAAATTAGAACATATGTGAGTATATATATATTATATATAAAATTCTACCCGGAGTAGAGTGTTATATGGGCATCTTGTCAAAGAATTCAAACATCCAACTTCTTGATAAAAAATATATAAACCTTGACTAGTTGAATTATACTTAAGTTTCTAGTAAGGGTCGAACCATCTCACTTCAGAATCACTTTAAGGTCGAACCATCTCACTTCAGAATCACTGGAGAACAATTAACGAATCCATACTTTTCAAAATCAAACTCAAACTCCAATTATTTCCAAAATTTTATATATATTATATATAAAATTCTACCGGGGTGTTATATGGGCATCTTGTCAAAGAATTTGAACATCCAACTTCTTGGTAAAAAATATATAAACCTTAACTACTTGAATTATACTTAAGTTTCTAATAAGAGTCGAACCATCTCACTTCAAAGTCATTCGAATCCATACTTTTCAAAATGAAACTCAAACTCCTGTTATTTCCAGAATGTACCAACCATAGTAATAAACTAAGGAACACAAAAGAAAACTTAGAAAAACTAATTCAAAACCCTAAATTTTAACCATTGGAAGAAAGAAAGAACATTCTTATCATGGCAGAATCAAAGTTGACCTCATATATCATCTTTAAAGGGAACAAAGGAGGAGAATAAAATACCTGGATTGGAAGCTGGAAGTAGTAATATAGGCTGAGAAGAATGATTAAGAGAGTATTGTAGCTGCCACAACTTCCAATGTGTATCATTAAAGCTGTGCTGCACAATCAGAGAGTGAAGAAACAATGCTTGACAAAATAGGCGAAGTGCCTTCCAAATAACTCTATAATCAAATTGAATACGAATTGTCAAAAGAATTTAGTTTCAGTAGAAGCGTGAGAATCTAATCTAACTCTATATATGTATATTTATATATTAATATGAATGACATCAACTGACAAATAATCCTGTTAAGGCATAGGACAACAAGATATTCTCATCCAAGCGAATGTTGCCGGATGAATATTAATTGTAGCCTTTGGGTGCCTTTGCCTTATTTGCCACACTTGCCAACTCAGATTCTCATTCAACAAACCAACTAGCAGACTAAACAGAAACCTCAATCGCCTTCTCTTCTTCATCAACCCCAAAAGAATACCACAAAACTCATGATATCAGAAATCACCACAAGCAAACTTGATCAGGATGAAGCTAGTAGTTTATTTACCGAAAAAATGAGTTCTCTGTTGTGCGGGCAATCCCATTTGTCGACGAAAATTATACTTGATGAGTTGAGCCCCAGATTTCATGAAATATGTAGTAGACGGTGGTAGAATCTTCGACTTATCACGGATTTATGTTACACTTGCTCAAGAACAGATCTTCTCTGTCTAGAAATTTCTTCCAGTGAGCTTTGTATTTTGGGATACCCAACTCCAGCCAAGGTTTCAAATAGCCATTATAATGCAATGTTGCAGCCTTTTTTAGGTCTTGGACATTATGCCTGTAGACATGACCTAACCCATATAGAGACCAGGAATCATGAAGGGGGTAGATCATCCCCTGAAAAGTAAGCAAGCTTGCACGCAACACATCAGCATTAGTTGATCCGTCCTGCATCATCAGCTTCTGGTCAATAGATGTTACGAGAGAAAAGGAAGAGTCAGATAAAATGATCGTTCAAAACAACTCAGCTTTCATATTTATCCTTGATCAATCACCAAAAATATTAGAGGCACAGGTTGAAAGACGTTGAGTACGATGCAAGAAACAAAAATTATCAGCAGATATAGCATATAAAAGACATGACAAACATAAAATAGGTTGGGCATTGGCTTAAGTTTGCAATACAAAATATTATAGAATCTTCAATCGAAGATTCATGATCAGGAAAATTAAGATTCATGGGACTTACCTCCTTGACCAAACTACGGAAAGTTTGAGAAAGATCAAGCTCTCGCCACTTCGCCAGATCAATTACATTCAACCCTGACATCCAAGTGCAATCATTTTGATTGTAACCGTTCTCACCCAGAAAACTTTTCAGCTCACCCAACCTCACTTGACAACACTGTGCAGCACCATTAACTTTTCCTCCCATATCAAGGCTCCACAAGTCTGATAAGTCTCGCTGGACAACAACATCATCCTCCAGAACCACAACTTTATCCAGGCTCTTGAATATTTCAGGAAGAAGATAGTGCAAATGTGAAAACATTGAAATGTATTCGGTCCTAGAGTGAGTTAAAGTATGAAAAGAAATACGGAACTCTTGAGGCAAAACGAAAGTCATATTTTCATGATCGTCAAGTTTAAGATGCTCAACATTTAATACTTCAATAGTTGCCTCCTTATAACTATTCCTCGAAAACCAGAGTTTCATGGCAAAGTAATTCTGCCCATCAGTCAATACATGAAAAACCTGGTTTCCACTTTCCTAAAACATGAAGGAGTAGTTATCAGTGTCATTTTGACAAGTAATGCAAATAAACAGGCTAAAAGTACAAATAAACATTTAACTCACTTTTGCATGTGAAACGGTTGAATTGATAACCACTGATGATGCAAGTACATTATTCGAGAATATTATATAATGGTTCAAAGTGGGATCTGCATATTTCTCTGCCAGTGAGAGCTCCAAATTGGTTGAATCAATCCTAAAATATTCAACAGTTAGCTGCATAGACAAGCAATGCAGGCTCTTTGGCATGGTCTGAACAGCTAGTTGGAAGAGAAAGGCACTCTGCTTCATGTGAAAATCGGCTTCATCCTCGGTCATATCAAATAGCTGTCGGAACTTTTTGTCCACATTAGAACACTCCAACGGGAATGATTTAGCTTTGGTTATTGTATCTTCCATCTTCAGTGACTTTTTCTCTATCCTGATTAAGAAAATGGAGACATGGAAAGTTTTCCAAGACAGAAATATGAGGATTTCTTAAACGAAGATTCAATAAACTAAAAGGAAAAGAAAAAAAAAAAGAAGGTGTTATAAAGTGAAGCAACCAGATACATCAGAGGCTAAATTGTTATCCAATATGCTCGTAATTTTTTAGTTTGCATAATATATATGAATTTTCATCTCCTTCAAAATATGTGCAAGCATGTAAGCAGACATGCTATAGCCTTCAGGGAAAAGTAAGCTATTTCAAAATTGAACTTTGTGGTCTATATGTTGAGCCTCTCCTTACGTTTTGAGAGAAAATTATTTTATAAAACTTGAGAGAGAAAATGCATTGAAAACATTTTAAAAAAACATGTAGATGACAATTGCATTAAAATATGTAGGTAAGAGAATGTACAACACTTGGTAGGAGAAAGGTTCGATAACTACTTAGTCCCTTAAAGTAAATTATAATTATAATACATTTCCAAACTAGCAGGCATGAACATGGAAAAGAAT